CTATTTAAGGTAGAATGTAAACTGAGTATATTTATAGGTAGATAAAGCTTGGGTTTAATACAAATTATAAGTCACCTAAAGAAAAGCAATGTCATCAGCCAATGGTTGGCTTTGGACGACCTTGGTACCTTGGTACCAAATATACCCGAAGAATGACGTGTCACTCTTCATGTAACTAGGGGTACACTTAGGGCTACGTATCCCGTTACATCCTCCCCCACTTATGTCCGGTTTACCGACCAATCAGAATGAAGAGGTGTTCGTCACAAATTTTCATTCTCAAAGTCGAAAACCCATCGACTTGGCCGCGCGAGTGCGGCGGAGGCTCACGTCACAGTTAGAGCCTCGAGCAGCAGTCTGTGCGCCCTTCTTCTAGGTCTCCACTTCGACCCGTTTACTATGCCTCGTGGCACTGCAAAGAGCGGTGCGAGCCAAGAGCGCTAATCCTCACGGCAAAGGCTCGGCACTTAAGGAGGCTACTCAGGTGGTCTCGGAGCCGATCGGCTTATCGGGCGACAAGGCGGTGGGCAAGCGAACAAGCAAGCGCCGCAGCCCGTCGCCCTCGGCCTCTCTAGAAAATCGTCCGAACCCTCGTTTCGTAGAATGTGAGTTCGATTCTGGCAGTGAGGAGGAAGCCGAGTCCGAGAGCACGCACGATGCTCCTGCGGGCTCTACGGGAGGGTACAGCCCAGTGCCCAGCGAGCACAAGGACGACCGCGTGCAGTCGCTCGCTAGTGATCAAGGCGATCACAGTCCCAAGATGTCTGTGCACGCTGAGAGTCCGGCCGTCAAGGCTAAGGGCACTCCCAAAGCTAATACGATAAGGAAGAGAAATCTCGCAAACGTCTTTCGCTTGCCGAGGGTCTTGTGCGTGCTAAGGCCTCAGAAGCCGAAGGCGCCAAACCCTTAAAGAAGCATACGGCCTCTAAGTCCCCACTCCGCGAGAAGAAGGAGAATCGGCACTCCCATCGGGGCCTCTTCGACTCCTCGGATGAAGAGGAGGAGAAGGAGGAGGAGGGTGCTATCTCTGATCCCCGGGAGGTCACGAATGACCTCGACCAGCAGCAGGTGGACTACCAAGCTGCCCAACGTGTGCGTGGGGGGTTCGGTGGTGGCACCCGTCAACCAGGGAGCTGTCGTCAACTCAAGAGAGAATTCGCCTCCCGAGGAGAGCTCTGGGGCTGACCTCTTCCTAGAGCTTCTTGTCGCTCCTCGTGGCCTTGTGGGCGGCCACACTTCTAGGGGCATTTACGAACGTGCCCTTGTTCAAAAAGAACAGTTGTTCGCTGAGAACTTGGAGGCTGCTCGCTCGGTGTGTGCTCCCTTGCGTCACACCTGCATCCTCCATAAAGGACGTTTACGGACATTGTCGCGAAGAAGCCTGAGAGACCAGGGA